ACTAGCGATGCACTTGTTACTACTAGCGATGCACTTGTTACTACTAGTGATGCACTTGTTACTACTAGCGATGCACTTGTTACTACTGAAGTGGTTCAAATCATTACACATAGTCTCGAACTTGCTACGCACATCTAAGCACTTGCTACTAGGAGCAAAGGGCATCGCTACTAGCTCCTGGCCTTACTACTAGGAGCAAGGACGCTACTGTAACAAAAAGCTACTAGTAAACAATTGCCAGTCCGGGACGGGCCCGACGGGACCCAAGCAAGGAACGAAGCAGTCGGACGAAGCAGGTTGGAGCAGCTCTCTGAGGAGCATGAGCTTCAACGCTCCGAGAAGGAGGCCATCGCCAGTAGGCCACTAGGTCAGTGCCCATCGCTAGTAGGTTGGAGGCCATCGCTGCTAGGTTGGTGGCCATGGCTACTAAATTCTAGCCCATCGCTACTAGGTTGGTGGCCATCGCTAGTAGGTTCGAGGCCATCGCTACTAGGTTGGTGGCCATCGCTACTAGGCTACTAGGTTAGTGGCCATCGCTAGTAGGTTGGAGGCCATCGCTAGTAGGTTGGAGGCCATCGGTAGTAGGTTCGAGGCTAGTAGGTTTGAGGCCATCGCTACTAAGGTTGTGGCCATTGCTAGTAGGTTGGAGGCCATCGCTACTAGGTTGGTGGCCATCGCTAGTAGGTTGGAGGCCATCGCAGTAGCTTGGAGTCATTTTCCGGGTGGAGTCATTTTGTCCTTGGAGAAGGCAGAAGGGTCCTACAGGGAGATCACAACTAGTCGTCCAAAAACCATCATATTACAAGGCACCTGCCTAACACGATGTGGGTGTAGACTTGCTCTCCCCCTGGATTGCAGAACCTAAAGCTCCTTCATTCCCTCAACAGCATCCAGCTTCGTGACAAAGAAGTGATTCGAGGCGCTGCGGGAGAAACATGTCCGGGAGCGGCTCCAGAAATACAGCTTCTTGGCAAATGGACGCCATGCAGACCAGGTCATGCCAAATAGTTCCGTTTCACTGGGCACGTCATGCTAGAATTTGCTTGACGTGCTAACGCTTGCGGTGTGATAACCCAGTGCCAGTGTGACTGCTCAATTCGTAGCTCTGTCGGCCACTTGTTTTCGAGCTCTACAAATGCTCAAGATGCTGCTGTAAAAACTTGCAGGGTCAACACCTCTCCATCTTGCAACAACAGACCCAGCAACTGCCTAAGGCCTAACACGAAGCACGCCACCAGACCATATTCAGAGGGCGAACACTCCCTTAATGCATTTGGGATTGAACTCCCGACTCCGTTCGTTGTCCTGGTCACAGGCGAACTGTCAACATTGTTGACACTGTCTAGGGAGAGCAACCAACAAACTGTTAAGAGTGACCTCTGTAGCTTATAGACTTATTTAAAGGCTTACGCCTAACAGCCGGGCGCCGGCCCACTTGGGTCTGTGTAGGGCTGGGTCGGGTGCACGCGCAGCTATCGGGGGCATACACTGGGCCCTGGTGGTGCCGGAAACTGGTCCGCGTCGGAGACGGGGCCCTATATTGAGCAAAGTTAAGCTATCTGGTGCGCATCTTGGCCCTAGGTTGGGCCCATGTGGTCTATGTTGGGCACGTCTGGAGCCCATGTTGAGCCTATGTTGGCCTATGTTAGGCCTATGTTGGCCTATTTTGGGCCTATGTTGGCCCCTATGTTGGCCTATGTTGGCCCTATGTTGAGCCATCTTGGAGGCTATGTTGGGCATATGTTGGGGATATGTTGGCTATCTTGGGCCTATGTTGAGGATATGTTAGGCAATGTAAGTCGTCTGGAGGGCCTCTACCCACAAAATGTCGATTAAGCCTGTCCGACCGGCGTGCATTACCGACACCACCCTTGAAAAACACAGCATTTTTGCATTTCTCCCTTTTCCCCGCGTCGTACTTTGATATGCGCAATAAACCCTGTAAAACACAGTGTTTTTTATACCTCACACACACGATACACTGTAAATTACAGGGGCATCAGTTGACAGGAAGTGACCTGGGGGTCCGCCCGTTTTGGGACCGAGGGTCGGCGGCAGCCGGCGGACCGTCTATAACCTTCGGTTACCACCGAAGGCCCTCCGGGCATGCCACGGGCTTCGTGGCCGGCGCCCGGATTTAAGGGCTGCCGCCCCTGCAGCCGACCCCGGTCAGTGCTGCAGATCTTGATGCACGTAAGAGCCACCAAGCGCATATTTTATTTCGATTCCTTTGGCTGGTGGTTGTAAATGGTTTTGTATGTTGTTTGATGATGTTTGATGCAGTCACAAGTATCTCAAGTAATTTTGGGGATATGCTGCTCGTAGGTCCTGCAAGTGGAGTCTGAGTCCATTCCTGTAGTAGAAAGTTTTGGGCAAACAGGTAGGTACACATACAGCATGGTGTTTTATTTATTGGGCTTCAGACGCATTACCTGAAGCTCGCAGCTGCGTGCGAACGCAACTTGTTGAAATGCAGTGCACGTTGAGGCCTTAGCATTCTTTGTTTTTTCAGGGTCATTTGTACATCATTGCTGGAAGTACGAAAGTCAGGATAATGTGCGCGCCGATGCTTTTGGGCAGGTGTCAGTTGCATTCATTGGGTGCACGTGTTTAGAAATTCGATCTTATAAACCTCAGGGAGTTTGAATGGAGGAGCGTGAAAGAAGGAGCATTATATAATAGAGGAAAGAATTACCGAACACATTTGGTGTTGAAGTCTACAATGCTACAAGCATTACCTGGTGTAACTGGAGCGGTTCTGGCGGAAAGTGTTTGTGGCGGGTTTGACGTTTGTTTGGTGACCCCTGCAATCCATGAGGACTGAATCCCTACGGATCATGTGCCAAAGTGTCACACTGGAGGACTTCGAGCATGTTGTTGCAAAAGGATCACCGAAGGTATAAGTGTATCTTCCTGGCACGCGAGCTTCCGTCGTCTGACCGATCGGAAACGAATGTCTGGAAGGTGCTGTGGATGAGGTAAGGGCAAGCAAAGTAGAGGCACAAACAGGAAAGGCAGCGGAAAGAACGAAAAAAAGACAAAGGGCTATGTCATGGTTGTCCGAGCTAGGACGGAAGAAGCAAGCTAGAGAAACTGTTGTTGGGGTCGTCCGATGATGTTGATGCGAATCCACGGGCACTGTTTTGTAACGGGTGTAAGAGGAGACAGGCAGGAAAAAGACGCTGTGGTCGGCAGAGGTGCTACCCCATGGTTGCCCGAGCCATGACGGAACAAGCAAGCTGGAAGAACGGTTGTTGGGATCGTCCGATGATGTTGATGCGAGTTCACGGGCATTGTTTTGCAACGCATCAAGAGGATACACAGTCTTTGGCGATGCTTTGTTGTTTTGTACGAAGGACATTATAAGTTGAGGAGGCATTGAAGCATGGTTTCTTGTGATCATACGTAATGGCACAGCTGAACAATGAACCGGTCACAGTGTCCAATTTCTCCGTCAGCGTTATATTTGGCTAATATTCAACGTCTGCAAGAACAACTACACCAACAGCTCTTATTGGATGAAACGAAGGAAGAACTACAGGAAATGAGGCACTCGCACACTGAATGCCAGCTTCAAGATCCACCGTTCAACTTGTAGGATAGGAATAGAATAAAATAGAAGGAAACTCTAAAATCAACCAATACCTCTAATGTAACGCATCGGCCATAAATCCCGCTCCAACTCACCCGGGTCTGGAACCAGTCTGCAGTTCCACCCGGTCGACGGCTCGACTCGTTTGCGATGTCGGTGGATTCCTCTGTGGACTCGTCCAGCAGCTCTTCGTCCAGCATCGAGAAGGCCAAAGCGTCCTGGTGCCACGGCGGCAGTGGCGACGGGTGCTTTTTCCATGTGTTTCATGGTGGTGTTTCCAGGGTCGAAGAGAGAAATAGCTCAACAATTGCATCCCCTCAAAGAAGAGAGATCCCTACAGATGTCTACAGTATATAGATAATCCTATAGTCCTGGAAAGGTCATAATATGATGAGAGGCAAGCATTCGTTTCTGGAGCTTGTAGGGACGCTTCGACGCTTCGAGTGGGGGAGCGTTGCATGTTTTGCGTCGTCAGGCCGTGCGAACCGGGTCTGGGCCGAAGGGTGACGGGTTGGAAACAGTGGTGTGGGCTGCTTGGTTGCGTTGGGGGTCAGTGGGGACAGCACGAGGCAGACCTGACAGACCAGTGTTGGTTCAGATGTTCCTGACTCCAGGGCATGGAACGGCCTTGGAAGAGCTCACGCCATGTACCAGCCATCAGGATCTTCGGAGATTGGTCTCTCCCTTTCTTGCTGGACCGTGTGTGGTGGCGTGGTAGTCGCCCCTCGGCTCTTTGGTTCTTTCCGGAGAGGATCGGTTCTTTTTTTCGGACGCGAAGAATTCACATAGAAGTGGACAACCACGTGGTTGTATACAATGGATTTCATGGCATTCCTGTCGGGGCCATACTCTCCACTTCCATGACAACGTTCAGATGGGGAGGTGTACTTCAAAATCTCCGGACCTTCAGCCGCTCTTGATTTGCACGTGCTCACTTCCTTAGTGTGAGGTGCTCACTTCCTTGGTGCCTTCCATCGGTGACACGTGGCGGGTCCGACGCCTGGCGGCGCAGCGGGGGACCACCTCTGATATACCCAGACCCATCTTCACAGGTGTTTCCTGGTGACGTTCGTATATAAGTAAGGTCCTGGTAAGGAAGGTTTTCGAACAAACCACTAAGCTTGGAAGGTCCTGGTATATGCCCATATCTTTTTTTATCCGGGGCCTTTGGAGGGTTTTCTCTTATAATAAAAGGTATTGATTAATGATACAATGTCCTCTTAAATCCCGCCCTGTGACACCAAAGATACACAGCAAACAGGAAGTGCATGTTCTGTAGACGGTTTGTTGATGTAGGAACACATCGGTAAGGAATGGTGTTCTTGCTAGCAGGTGTCCAGGAGAGGCTGGGGTTATCTCCAAAGGCTTTGAGGACCAACCACGTGGGGTGGTCTCCAAACTCGTAAAGTCTCAACTCCATGAAAGCAACCGTAACTTATGCCTCGGCCGACACTCTCGGTCAACCGCTGCCAACAGTTCCCAACCCCATCCAGTAAAATTGTGTGGGGTAATCCCCTGAGTAGTCCATAGAAAGGCTATAGCAGGTAGTGGTTCCCCAAATCCACCAGAAGTTTTCCCAAATGGGAATTGGACCTGGATGGGTTTTGGGAGCATGCTTGATGGATCCGAGGAACCACTACCTGCACTCTTTCTATGGGCTACAGTACTCAGGGGTTATCGCCCACACTTTTATAGAGCCAACCAAAGTGTTTCTGGGTATTCCTCAGAGAGGGCTGGGCCATTGCTGTCCTATTGGTCTCCCTACAGAATCCAGATGCAAAGCGTTTCATTTGCTATATAGATTTTTTGTTGTGTTTTGGGTCTATGCGCTTCACAGGTAGATGATTTTATAGATCACAGAGGGGTGAGGTCAACCCATTTTATAGAGAGGAGGTGAGGTCCAAGATCTCAACGACCTGGAAGGAGCAGAAGAAGTTACCCACACGACGTGAAGCCATCATGTTCGTCATGTTGCACTTTTGCCGTACCCTGAGGATGAGGAATAGGATGAATGAGGAAGGATGAGGATTGCGTTGCGCCATGCCGTCGCTTCATGAGGATCACGCTGCCAAGCTTTATCGCGAAAGGTAGCTTGAGCTACCTGAGTTCTCCTTGCTTGAGCAAAAGCGCATTACAATCTGAGTTTGGTCCTGTAAGAGATGATCAAATCATATCAAATCCCTCCTGCGCCGGTTCACACCGTCATGGACTTCTACTAGGGTTACTAGCCTGCTATCTTTTGTTCACCCCCCCTCTCTCAAGTGTCATGTGGTACTTTATACCAATTCCCTTGCCTACTTGGGGACACGAATGGGAGGTCTGAGGAACTATTGCCCGCTATACCCTTTCTATTGGTATTTAGGGGGTGAC